CTCTAATCAGGAACCCCCCAAAATAGTATTGGTAATTCTTCAAGCCTCTATTTTAATGCCTCGAATCTTCAGACAATGCCTTGAGCCACCCAAACTTGTCTCTCAGCAGGGTCTCCATCAACTCTACCTGGACCGGAAAAGTCTGTAGAATAATGGCCGTTTATGGTTCTTGGGACGTTATTTTACCTACTTTGGGGGGTTAGGTATGTGCGATTTATGTTCAGGCCCGCCAGCAGAATCAAGCTTCATGGAAGTTCTCCTAAGCCCTCAACCCTGAACCTCTAAACCCTGAACCTGAACCCCCTCTAAGGATCCTACAAGACACTTCTCAACTAAACCTCGAAATATCCTAAACCCTGAACCCCAAACCCGAAAATCTGAACCTTATTAACTCTTCACCCAAAGCCCCCAACCCCTCAACGCTGCAACCCGAAACATCTCAAACCCGAGAAGGGAGTTTCCGAAGACAAGGGGTACCTTATTTTTGGGGCCTCATTAATAATAGGGACCCTACTATTTAGGGTACTATATTAGGGTCCCCTATTTTCGGAAAACCCCCAGAAAGCACTGGGCCGAGGCACAGGAATGTGACCCGACTCGGCCGCCTTCCGATACCAAAGCAGAGCCTTTCTCGTCGGTAGGCGTTTTGGGTTGTGGATTTGAGGGCTGGTTTAGGGTTTAGGGTTTAGGGTTGAGGGCTTAGGGTTACCTGAAACGCCCCGAAAAGTAGGTAAAAACAAGGCCCAAGACCCATCAGAGGCTAGTGTTCTACATACTTGTGTTTTGAGGGTTTCGACTCACACACTCGCAAATGCAGGTATGGCGATAAGTGTCCGAGATTGCTACGTTTTGAGGGTTTAGGTATTCGGGTAGAGTTTTGGGTCTTAGGGTTCGTTGCTTCAGGGCTTGTGTATCTGCATTAGCAAGCACCCCTTTTCAGGTTTAGGGTTTGAGGTTAGGTAAGGGTAAGGCTCACTCAACTGGCACAAGCCGGGAGGGGCTAATTTAGGGCTTGTAGCACTTGGGGAAGGGGGTTCATAGGGGTTTGGCTTTCTGGCTTTCTCGGTGAGCTTCTCTAGTTGTGATTTAGAGTCCTTCGTTGTTTCAGGGTCGACGGTTGAACAATTTTGAGCAGCTTAGAGTTTTGACTGTTCCGTACTCCGTTGTTAAAAACCCCAAAGCCGCATGCCCCAAACCATACGGCTTGAAACCAAAAAGCCTGTTTGAAGCCCTGAAACGACAGTCGTAAACGTCAAACAACCTGCAACGCCCTGAAACACTACACATCTCTTTAGAACACCGCAAGCCCACTACAAATCCCTCAAAACTCTGCCACAGTTCCCTGGGCACTCGCACAGAACCGCAAAGCGCAGACCCTAAACCCAAAACCCTAGACCCAAACCCTAAAACCCAAACCCCCAACCTTAAACCCTGAACCCTACCCTAAACCCTAAACCCTATAAACCCTAAACCCTCAACCCAA